TAAGGCCTTTGATAGTTTTCTCCACACCTAAAGACAACGTCAATGTCACTTACACACAACAGCGCGCACCGCAGGCAGAGGGAGACGTCCCCCCCCCCCCCTCCCCCTCCGACCGCTCTCCCGGGAGGCACTGCTCACTGCCGGCCCATTACGGGCGACTGCACGTGCGCACAGCAGACGAGCACCAGCGGCGGCGAGCACGGAGCGTTTGTTTTCGTCCGCGGTCACTGACCGGCCTTGCGAAGGCCGCGCGGTGACCGACAGCGGATCGAGCCGAAAAGACGGCCGCCCCGCCCGCCGGGCAGGCAGTGAAAGTGCTCCCGCGCGGACGGTGTCCTCGCTAGTGTTGTCCTCGGCTGGGCTGCGCTCGTGTGAACAGGGGACTTCCCACCGCTCGTGTGAACAGGGGACTTCCCACCGGTCGTGTGAACGGTGCTTGTGTCTCCGCGAATCCCGCCTGCCCACTCCCGGCTGATGACACCTGCCTCCCTCCAGCCGTGTTTATGTCCGATGAACCCCACGCTCAAGGTCATATTTGCGACCCGCTGCCCCCTCCCCAGCTTTCTAGCACAGAATGTTAACCACCGCTGTTGCCAGTTGTGGGCGGGCGGGTGTTGCCAGTTGTGGGCTGGATCCCCTGATAAATGATGCGCCGATAGACCTCGCCGACATTAGCCCCCAACGGTGAGGGCTTACACTAGGACCCGCATTAGCCCCCAACGGCGAGGGCTTACACCAGGACTCGCATTAGCCCCCAACGACGAGGGTTTGCACCAGGAATTACCTCTTTGCCTCCACATGGGTCCCGCTAACGACATCCAACAATATCCGTGTAAAACATTCACGTATGCCGCAACTTGAGATTCATGGGTCCTGCTAACGACATACAACAATATCCGTGTAAAACAATCACGTAGGCCGCAACTTAAGATTCATGGGTCCCGCTAACGACATCCAACAATATCCGTGTAAAACATTCACGTATGCCGCAACTTAAGATTCATGGGTCCTGCTAACGACATACAACAATATCCGTGTAAAACATTCACGTATGCCGCAACTTGAGATTCATGGGTCCTGCTAACGACATCCAACAATATCCGTGTAAAACATTCACGTATGCCGCAACTTAAGATTCATGGGTCCTGCTAACGACATCCAACAATATCCGTGTAAAACATTCACGTATGCCGCAACTTAAGATTCATGGGTCCTGCTAACGACATACAACAATATCCGTGTAAAACAATCACGTAGGCCGCAACTTAAGATTCATGGGTCCAGCTAACGACATCCAACAATATCCGTGTAAAACATTCACGTATGCCGCAACTTAAGATTCATGGGTCCTGCTAACGACATCCAACAATATCCGTGTAAAACATCACGTATGCCGCAACTTAAGATTCATGGGTCCTGCTAACGACATCCAACAATATCCGTGTAAAACATTCACGTAGGCCGCAACTTGAGATTCATGGGTCCTGCTAACGACATCCAACAATATCCGTGTAAAACAATCACGTAGGCCGCAACTTAAGATTCATGGGTCCCGCTAACGACATCCAACAATATCCGTGTAAAACAATCACGTAGGCCGCAACTTAAGATTCATGGGTCCTGCTAACGACATGCAACAATATCCGTGTAAAACAATCACGTAGGCCGCAACTTAAGATTCATGGGTCCCGCTAACGACATGCAACAATATGCGTGTAAAACAATCTCGTAGGCTGTAACTTTAGATTCATAGAATGTTGGGATGAGATATTCGTAGCAAGCCATAATCATAGAACCCGGTGTTCAATGGAGTGAAATACATCAATTTGTAATAAGTAAATGCTAACCTGACTGTTATATATGGAGGAAAGGTGTGCCTATCCTCGAGTCTTTGTGGAAGCATTAATCCGAGCGGCTGACTACGAGCGACAGCGGTTAACGAAGTGGTATTGATGTTTTGCAGTTGTTACAGTGCCGGCTGCTGGGCGCAAAATAGCCGCTGCAGTCGACGCGCCCCCAGACCCAACTATCATCACGGCCTTACGATGGTCGCTTCTGGCAGCATATATAGTTAAATTACCTGATGCAATGAAACCAGAACTAGGCACTCCTCTGATACGAGTCGCCACGCCACTGACGTGTTCAGCTTTCGTTGGCATCAAAGCACCTGGACTGTGCTGATTGCCTCCGCTGACGTGGTCATAACGCCGCCTAGCGTGCCGTCTGGCACTACAAGGCCCTGCGGCTGGCCCGGCCCGCCCTTCGTCGGGCCAGCAGCCATATCACGCGCACATCGGCAGACCGGAGGAGTAGCAGACGCGCCGTGCTGCACGTGTTACCGTCGCTCCCATTGGCTTGAGCCAGCGGAGGCCATCGCCACTGCAGAGGTCATGAACAGCGGACTAGCTGGAGTTTGTCAGGCTGACTGTGAGGTGGTCGCCAGCTTTGTTGCCCACTGAGGGCTCCGCGCTCGGCTTATTTACTCACTCTCCGGGTGAGTGGCTCAATTTAAGTGTCAAGTCCGAAAAAACCCAAAGGCGCGACACAAAAAGAGTGATCCCTGCCGGGACTGAATGCTGCAGAGCTCCGCGTCGTGCGTCGGGGCTTCGGCCGTGTTGCCAAGTGAACGCCTCCAGGTTTTATAGGCGTTGACATGATCAACGGCAAGCGGTATGCCACAGCCAGACCGCGTGGTGCAAAAACTGAATGCTCGGCATGACCGGGCGGAAAGCGGGTGGCTCCAGGCTGTCGGCCGACGTCGCTAGGCGTCATGTCATTATACACTGGCGCGGGGTAGCGTGGCTGGGTCGGCCGTCGAGCTCGCGGGCCACTTAGGGCACTATGAGCGCCCGTGTTGGCACGGCAGGTGACCGAACATACAGACATGCCATACCCGAGCGTCTCTGCCCGACGAGATGTGACGTGACGTGGCGCTCACGAGATGGTCCTGGTGTAGCTTCTGAGGAAATCCATGTGCTTGGATCACAGGTCTGGAGATTGTTAGGAATTATTTTGGATCGTAAAGGTCTCAAGTAGACGGTTGCGAGTCTGGTGCCGACGCCGTAGGTAGGTGTTGACCGGCGTTAGGCGAATGATATTTAGCACTGTTCGGTGTCACATCCTCCCTGAATTCAGTATTTATGGATGGTCCTGAGAGAATTCTCGGCATCTAGTCTCAGTATTTAAAACAGACCACATATTTACGGCCGCTGGAAGGATCCCCGAGAGGCGTCAATTTTTGGGTAGCTGTGTTATTTCACGTTTTGTGGGGACGTCTGTGGGACTACGTCCTTGTCAACGCACGGGCTGCTGCGAAAAGCGTGACTTTTCCAGTGGCAACCCGAATGCAACGATTATGTTTGCCTCGGCCCGTTGCACAATGCAAACCGACGGATCTGTTTTGTGCCACGCAACGTCATGACGTAGCCACCCGTGCCAGCCTGATTCCCGTGCTGAGTGGCCGGATGGCTGTTCAGGCGAGCCAAACAACCGAGTGCTATTTCTGGTACACGAGCCCACATAGTTTGCAGCCCTAATGGGCAACTGGGCGGTGTTTTGCCGACTAAGCTAAGGGGACGGAAAATTAATTCTAATGCGGTGAAAACATGGATGAGGGTTCCTGAGGGACTGAGCAGTGCTGATAAGGAGCACCCAACTCTGCCACCACGAGCCACGCGCTCGTTAAAAGTGGTGAAAGACCGTCACGTAGTCGCAGACAAGCAGCACCATTCGCCACGGCGGCGGGTCCCACAAGCATTGTCGGTGTGCAGCTCGCGACAAGGTATTCAGACGTTGAAGCCAGCAGCCACTGCCGGACCCCGCTCGCAGCCCGGCCAAGACGCGCCCGCTCCGTAAAGTGTCGCTGATAACCGGACGCCGGGACCCAGACAATGCTGCAGATGTTATCTATCACCATGAAGCGTTACAGCGATGGAGCGAGTGTCGCCTGCACTTTCACCACCGGCGTGCGTGGGTCGATTAACTGGGTCAAATGTTATGTGCAGCGCCGAAGCCCGTTCCAGCCACTTTTCGTCACCTCATCCCAGCCGACTGCTCAGATCCATATCCGGTGATGCTGCTGCCCCATTTGAGCAAACAATGCGAGCTGCGCGCAGGCATTGCGGGCGCTTGCTTCTGCTGTTCTTACATACATTGGACGCAATGATAATGTTTGGTCTTCGCAGGAAAGTGTTGCGATTGAAACTGCCGCCCTGATTTTAACCGACGTTACTGGCGGCCTATATCAGTAATCTTACGAGTAAAGATATGGATTAAAGGTCACATCAGTTATATCTTTTGATATTTCCTGGCAGCTCGTATTAAATAGTTAACGTCCCAGGTCATTTGCACTGTTTGTGCTTTGTGGTTTAATTGATTAGCGTCGCAAGTATCGCCGTCTGGCCCTGTTCTGATCACATGACGTCAGTGTGACGCGGGTGCTGACGTCTCCCGTCTGCCGCAGTCTGCGTGAGCCGTCCTCCGCCATGTTCGCGTGCCTGCTGATGGCGCTGCTGCCGCTGGCCAGTGGCCAGCAGTTGCAGCTGCAGCAGGAGCTGCATCTGGTGCGACCCACTAGCTCGCCCGCGCCCACCGAAGGCGTGCAGGAAGCGCGCGTGCTGCCCAGTGTGGTGTCGGTAGATTCGCTGCGGCCGCCGCCGACGACGCTGGCGGCACCGCTGGACCAGGCCGTTGGTGACGGGCCCTCCAGCTACCAGTTCCCGCACTACGCCGAAGAGACAATCGACCTGAGCGCGCCGCTGGCGCCGCGGCCGGCTGAGCGGCGGCGTCCGGCCGACGCCGCCGGCCCCGCGCCGGCCCGCGCCGAGTGGGCGCACCCGCCGGCTACGACGCCGCCGCCGCGCCAGGAGCGCCTCGAGATTCCGGCGCCGCACCAGCCTGAGCCTAGCGCGCCGCGCCAGCAGCGGCTCGTGGTTGGCGTGCCGCGACAGGAGCGGCAGCAGCGGCCGGCCGCCGGCGAGCCGCGCCGGCCGGAGGTCAGCGCCCGGCGGCAGGTGGCGCGGGTGGTCCCGGCGGTGCCGTCAGCAGCCGTGACGCTCCAGCCCGAGCCGGAGAACGCCGGGGGCGACGACAGCTATGTGCAGCTGTACGCCGACGCGTGGGACCTGGGTCGGACCGACGCGCCGCCGGCACCGGCCGACGACTCGCTCTCGGCGCTCGAGTACGAGCTGGCCGCCTACAACGTCACCCTCTTCGACGTCGCCATGGACTTCATGCTGCACGACGCCACCAACCTGACGACGCTCTTTTCCAACATCTCCAGCTGGCGCGGCGACGACGTCAACATGACGCGCAGCATCGCCGTGATGAACGTGCTGTTCGGCGCGCTGCAGGACAGTCTGGACGGCGACGCCTCGCTCCTGGAGCGGTACGGCGTGCCAGCCAGCGGCTTCAACCTGCGCCCGGTGCGCCGCACCTGGGGCCAGGACGGCGCCCAGCCCTACCGACGCGCCCCGCCAGGTGAGTGCAGTGACGCGCTGCGCCGTGATGCCCACCGCTCGCCGTGCTCCCTATCGTGACGCTTGCTGTAAGCATCCTCCTCGCGATATGCCTCTTTGCTCCGGCGCTTTTCTTCCGTCCTCACTCAATAGCTTAGTACACCACAACGACCACAACCAAAAGCACTGGCGATCTTAAAAATGGGGAACACTAGACTATGCAATCGACCTGGCACTTCGCCGACGTGGCGGGCTGGCCGTGACGTCCGGTTCAGACGAACGTTTGCGTGCTCTCTGACCCTGCCTGCCTGGCGTGATGCGGCCGCCAGACCTCGTCACGGCCAGTAGGCTGATCAGCCAGCCAGTGCAGCGGCTACGCATTTCTGTATCTAGGAGGGAAAGGCAACAAGGACGGCTTTTAAAGCCAAGAAAGGCAAAGAGCCTTCTTTACCCGTTTATATGTGCCCAATGCTTATACGCACAAATGGACTCTGGGGCTAAGGTTAGGGTAGTGAAGTGGTTAAGCCGCGCGTCAGGGAAACCAGAAGTTCGGGGTTCGAGCGCAACGGCTCGTGCTGTTCTAAGCCCGTCGCATCACATCCCCACACACGCTGCAGTGGGCATCGTTAGAGCGCCGATCATGCGCGTCGACTCACCAATGCAGAGGGCACCCACTTAAACCGCAGGCATGGCGCTCAGGCCAAAGCCGGGATTCAAATCTAGTCCCTTGTGTGTTTGAATTCGATATTCAAATCCGCCCTTTGGACCAGATTCCGAGATCTCGAGGCCAGGCGGCATGCATCCAAGCCAGTTCGTTTTCGCGGCACAGGATTGCGAGTCCTACGGCCTGGAAACGACCCAGTAATGGCTTGTTGGATTGTACGGAGCAGATGTATATGTATATATATATATATATATATATATATATATATATATGTATGTATATGTATGTACATATATATAATATCCATAATATCCATCATTCTTCCAGGGATATACAGCGTTCGACATGACAAAGGAACAGACTGTTTTTATAAAGATCACCCACCTTTCCTCGCGTTTTGTCAAATGAGCGTTGAAACTAGCATTGGATAACCATTGTATTGATTTACATCACGTCCTGTGCATCATTAGAAATATGCAGAAAATGTACAACGAACCCATTGGTTGACGGTAAAGGATTTGTGAGGCTAGTCCAAGAGAAAGATTCAGCCTATAGCATGTTAGTTCTGATCTGTTTGCCGTCCCAACGACGCATCGATGGGATTGCAACCCGATCAGGGCGGACAAACCAGTCATCGCGATAGCTGTGCTGTCGCCCAGAGGGCGCTGATGATTGTCACGTAACTGTGAATGGTGTGTGTCACTCTACCGACACCGCTGGCCGTTACGCCGTGCGGCTGGTGAAGCGTTGCTTCAGCATCACTCAGGCGTTCATCGCCACCGGCGCTGAGGCGTGTCGCCTAATTCCTATGAAGCCAGTCACCGCACGCTTGCGCTAGTGGCCGCTGCGGCGTTGTTTTGCCAACTCTCGCGGGTGGCCAAACTGAGTGCCGCTAAACAAGAGTTACCGACACCGCTTGGACTCGGCGCGTGAGCCCGGTGCGCGCCAGCTCGACGCGGAACGAGTGAGCATGTTTCACAACAAGGGACCCGGCCGGCGACCGCCAGCGTTGCCCAACGCGGCCGCAGATCCGACCCGGCGCCTGCCGTCCATGTTCCGGGTGTTGCCAATCCCGCGGGCGCCGCTGCCAAACGCGATAGGCCGGCACCGCGGCGGATTCGTACCCGAAGCCGGACGGAGGCGGGCGCTCGGGAACGGCACTCGCTGATGGCTCGGGCTTGGTACCAGGTGGAAACAGAGAGGCGGGACAGGGAAAGGCCGGTTGGAAATGGGGGACGTCAAAGGGAAGCCGAGCCTCCTGGCTTTCAAGAATGCAATCAAATTGTCGTCTGTCTCAACATTTTCGGAGCTCATTTATCATGCATCAGCCCTGCAGCAACCGAAATCAATACGGTACCAACGTCGCTTGCCCAAGGCCATTTACAGATAAGGGTCGTTTTCCTTTGCATGTCAGCGAAAACCGCGCATACTGGTCAAGTCATCGGTTACCCAACCGCTGCCAATGCGCTTCCGCCGTTGTGCAATGCCAGAAGTGGTGCCCCGATCGGTAACGGAGCCTGGCACCGGCTGGACGCGGACGCCGCGGCGGCCGCGTCCAGGGCACGCGCCCGGTGACCGCCGCGAGGGTCGGGTGGACGCCGCGGCGGCCGCGTCCCGGGCACGCGCCCGGGACCGCCGCGAGGGTCGGGGCGGACGCCGCGGCGGTCGCTTCGGGCACGCGCCCGGTGACCGCCGCGAGGGTCGGGGCGGACGCCCTCTGCGGCCGCGTCCCTGGCACGCGCCCGGTGACCGCCGCGAGGGTCGGGTGGACGCCGCGGCGGTCGCTTCGGGCACGCCCCGGTGACGCCGCGAGGGTCGGTCGGGACGCCCTCGGTCGGCCGCGTTCCTGGTCACGCGCCCGGTGACCGCCGCGAGGTTCTGCGGACGCATCGGTGCGGCCGCTTCGGGCACTCGCCCGGTGGACGCCCGCGATGGTCGGGCGGACGCCGCAGCGGCCCGTCCTGGGGCACGCGCCCGGTGAACCGCCGCGAGGGTCGGTTTTGGGGTGACGCCGCGGCGGCAGCGTCCCCGGGCACGCGCCAGGTGACCGCCGCGAGGGTCGGCGGACGCCGCGGCGGTCAGCGTCCTGGTCACGTCGCCCGGTGACCGCCGCGAGGGTCTGGCGGACGCCGCGGCGGCCGCGTCCTGGGCACGCGCCGGTGACCGCCGCGAGGGTCGGGCGGACGCCGCGGCGGCGCGTCCGGGCACGCGCCCGGTGACCGCCGCGAGGGTCGGGCGGACGCCGCGGCGGCCGCGTCTGGGCACGCGCCCGGTGACCGCCGCGAGGGTCGGCGGACGCCGCGGGCGGTCGCTTCGGGCAGCGCCGGTGACCGCCGCGAGGGTCGGGCCGGGCTGCGACGCACTGTCGCTTGCATCACAGTGCCGGCGTCGACGGTCAGGGCACGTCGTCTCAGGGCCGTCATGCCGGCCGATGAGGCAAGGCGGCCGAACTGTGTCAGCGGTGGTGGCGGCGTCACACCCGAGAGCGCGGCGACACCGCTCCGCGCGGGGCCTGGAGAAGACCGTACCCGGCAGGACGCGTGGAGACTGAAGATCAAATCTACATATTGCAATCTGCATACGTGCAGGGCCGATGGGAAAACGGACGGGAGCGCCGGACGGACAGAATGAGAGATCCTCTAGTGTGTGGAGAGACGGACAGGAGCCTGGAGGAGAGGGCGATGTAAGCCCATAGATAGGAGGTCAACCGGCTAACGTTCATAGAGATATGTTTTAAAATGCAAGAGACCTCCAGCCCAAAGAAGTAAAAAAAGTTACTCTCCTCAAATCTTTATGAAAATCCGGTTGTTATGAAGTGCCAGCGATGCGAAAGGGTGAAACAGTGCCAGCTGAGATTGCCAGCAACGACCACCAAGGCAACGCAATGCCAAGGAGCCGCGTACAAACCTGGATGCGCGCTGCCAGAGAGCCGCGTACAAACCTGCCGGGGAGACGGCACGCGTCACTGAGGGCTGTGTGATGCCAGAGAGCTGCGTACAAACCTGCCGGGGAGGCGGCACCGTGTCACCGAGGCTGCCGCGATGCCAGAGAGCTGCGTACAAACCTGCCGGGAGGAGGCACGTGTCACCGAGGCTGCGCGATGCCAGAGAGCCGCGTACAAACCTGCCGGGGAGGCGGCACGTGTCACCGAGGCTGCGCGATGCCAGAGAGCTGCGTACAAACCTGCGAGGGGAGACGGCACCGTGTCACCGAGGCCTGCGCGATGCCAGAGAGCTGCGTACAAACCTGCCGGGGAGACGGCACCGTGTCGCCGAGGCTGCGCGATGCCAGAGGCTGCGTACAAACCTGCCGGGGAGAGGCACCGCGTCACTGAGGCTGTGTGATGCCAAGGAGCTGCGTACAAACTGCCGGGGAGCGGCACCGTGTCACCGAGGCTGGCGATGCCAGAGCGCTGGTACTACCAACCTGCCGGGGAGACGGCACCGCGTCACTGAGGCTGTGTGATGCCAAGGAGCTGCGTACAAACCTGGGGGAGGCAGGCACCGTGTCACCGAGGCTGCGCGTGCAGAGAGCTGCGTTCAAACCTGCGGGGAGGCGGCACCGTGTCACCGAGGCTGCGCGATGCCAGAGAGCTGCGTACAAACCTGCCGGGGAGGCGGCACCGTGTCACCGAGGCTGCGCGATGCCAGAGAGCTGCGTACAAACCTGCCGGGGAGGCGGCACCGTGTCACCGAGGCTGCGCGATGCCAGAGAGCTGCGTACAAACCTGCCGGGGAGACGGCACCGCGTCACTGAGGCTGCGCGATGCCAGAGAGCTGTGTAGAAACCTGCCGGGGAGGCGGCACCGCGTCACTGAGGCTGCGCGATGCCAGAGAGCTGCGTACAAACCTGCCGGGGAGACGGCACCGCGTCACTGAGGCTGTGTGATGCCAAGGAGCTGCGTACAAACCTGTCGGAACCGAGGCTGCGCGATGCCAGAGAGCTGTGTAGAAACCTGCCGGGGAGACGGCACCGTGTCACCGCCACCGCTCTCAAAAGTCCATCCGCCAAGGGTCGGGAGGTTCGGTCAGGGAAATGACAGTCGTGGCGATGGGGGCTGGGGACGACCCGGGGGCGCGAGGGGCGCCGCCTGCCGCGTCAGTCATGTCAGGTTACCCGGGACCGCGGCGTGAAGCAAGCGTGCCGCGGCGGCGGGGGTGGCGACGTCAGGCGACAGCGGCCTCGCAGAGCCGCGGTACTCGCAGCTCACTTTCACCCGTTGTGTAACGTGGCCAGCGCCGGCCGACGACAGCTGAGTCCCCCTCCCCACCCACGCTAGGGCCCTTTTGATCAGCTGTGGTGATGGACGGCTGCAGCGCGCGCACGTGTCCCGACCAACCCCGGCGGCAAGCCAGCGCGGCGCCGGCCTGACGCCAGCCATCCGAACAGGCGCAGGCCGAGAAAGTTCGCACGCCCAGTGACTGCGCGCGAGCAGCCGGCAGGAACGGAGTGGGTCACTCGTGTGACGCCGACGTGTGTAACGTGCGCAGCTGGCGGTTGTTACCGCGATGTCAACACACTTTCCGCGCCGAGTGCAGCTGCTCCGAGTCGGCACTACATTTGAAAGGCGTCGCTTGTCGCTGTGACCTCCGTTTCCGTCAACGAGCCATTTTGTGCAGTTTAATTAAACGTCATACGTGAGTATCCAGTGTTGACGACGGCCGAGTTGTCTGGATTAACGAGGTGGAACGATGACTTGGAAACAAGACTGTGGCTGTACGAATTGCCACAGAAGCTTGGGTTACATCCCGCACGGAGCGTTGACGTCTGATATAAAACAACATAACGCAGTGGATCAGGCCGAATTGATACAAGATAAGACTGGATTCGCCTGGCGAAAGGGGTCTTAGCGAATATTGCGCCATCATGATTAGTTTTGTGCGATGGATTTGCCTCAACACTGGTGTAATTACGCGAGACCAGTTGAGGCTGAGCCGGAAAAATGTCTAAACCTGATCGCAAAATACACATAAAACCGGTTTCTCTTCAAGTCTGACCCACTTTTCTCCCAAAGTTGGATGGAAATCCCAGCTCAGTGAGGAAATCATACCATTATGTCGCACTCAACACCCTGCATATTGAACGGTTTTCGTTTTGTTACGAAGAACGTCGTGGCCCGTGAGGGCCTCAATTCTATACCGGTGGACTTTCGGCTTCTCTCACTGGCCGGTCCAAATTTATGCATTTCACAAGTCTGTTATCTTCGTTGCCACTTACCACGCTCATTTTCTGCAAATTTCAGTGTCCAGCAGCATTTATCGACGACGCATTTCATGAAAGCTGCACGGGTGCCTTTATGAGGTGTTTGCATGCATGCTTAAGGGTTACAAGGCTCACCTTACCACATAGAAAAGTCGCCCATCAACACAGCTGCGTTAATGCCACTGTGCGAGTACGATGCAAGCTAGGTTGCGAGGTCCGACCCCTTCGATTTCTCGTGCGGCGGAAGGCTTCCGCTCGCGTTATTCCACTGCGTCCAGACCAGCTCCTGGTTGAAATCGTGAGGCGCGTTGTCCACAATGACGTGAATGCGTCAGTTATTCTCAACAGGATTTATCGTGTGGTGGGGGAACATGAGCACAATGTTGGTATCAAAAGGTAGTTTGCGTCACTGTATGCCACAATCACCTAATGCCATGTTTATGGATACATTTGAAGTTCACGAATAGTTGGGTAGCGGTCGTGTGCGCCATCTGAAGGTGAAAGCGACTTTAGCGCAGGAAGCATCGACAGAAAAGGACACTAACTCGCCATTGAACGCTGTTGATCTCTTTGATGCATAACGATGCACAAAGTACCTGAGGCTACATGGCGTCGCCCGCCTCTCACCCGGCAGAAAAACCGGGCACCGCGGGGAATCGAACCCGTGGCCTATAACTCCGCCACTGCGCTGGTGGTACCTATTTTATCATGGAACCACAAACCTGACATGCACAATGTCCTGATGTAGCTGAAAAACGGCCCCGGCATGTGGTCTCCATGTCTTGAACCATATTCAACTTCGTTCCATCATCGCTAGCGCTTAATGTTATCGCACCACAACTGCATCATCTTTGCATAGCAAAGCCTCGCTAATCGCACACGAAGTGTCTAACAGGTTGACTCCACTTACGTCGTATTTAAGACTAGTAGGAGACATGATCCATTCCATCAGCGCGGTCTTACACATTAATGGACGACTTTCCGTTGGAGAGCCAAATATTATGTCTTGCAAAGTGGCTTACAATCTCTCTACAGCGTAGATGAAAACGTTAGATATGCCATTGCCCGAACGGTCTTGTTACGTTGCCTGCGCGCGCTTCTTCAAGTCCTTTAGCGGTTATTTAACTACACCTAATTTGTTGGAGAACATCGTCATGTTGCCTTATTAACATGAAAAGCCATGGATTTTGAGTAGCGCGAATCTCATCGGACGCATTGCAATTTAGGATGACGGTTTTGGATGCGTACGGAACAAACGTGCATCCGGCATCACTCAAAGCCGCGACAAAGCGCACTCCGGTTGGTCGCTGGTCGACCCCTGGCGGCCCAACTGACGCACGCGTCCCAGCGGCCGCCCCTGACTGTGAACATCCTCTGCCGACAGTGGTGCACCAGTACCGGCCGGCGGTGGACCACCGCTTCCTGGGCAGCCGCGCTGCCTGCGGCTCGTGTGAGTTCTTCATGCTGTGCTGGATGTCGGGCGGCACGGTGCGCGGCGGCTGCGGCGGCTTCATGTTCGGCTGCTGCGAGCGCGGACGGCGCGCCGCCAAGTCGTTCAATCCGCCGCCCCCGCAGGTCGACTACGGCCCTGTGCGCAACGACCCAGGTGAGCGGCCGGGTCGAGTCGGCTGGCGCCGCCGCGCGCGCCGCTTGCTGCCTGGGCTGGCGGGCGTGCCACAGGGCGGACACCGGCTCAGGTCGGGCAAGTACGGCCGGCAGCTCCGCCCGGGCAGGCGACGGTGAACCGTGTGCTCGCGCGCCAGGGTGACGAAACGTGGCGCAGAGTGGGCCCAGTGGGTGGCTTCGGGACCCGCTTTGTGTGCTGGCTGAACGAGCTGTGTTTGAACATTGGACCGCGGTAGCCCGACGTAGCTAGGAGGGCCTCGTGATCCAATTTCAGCAGTCCCAAACCCCAGAAAGGCATCAGAAAGTTCTCAGTAGTCTCAGGAACCAGTCCGACGCGTATTTTCATGAGCTTGGCCGACCAGATCGCGTATCCCTTAGCTTAACTGCCCTACATTGATATGAGCAGGCCAATGAAAGAAGGCGTGCTGGCAGTAGCCTAGGTGCAGTTTGCTTCAATCAAAGGCTAGCCTATCCCTTGCATTAATGCGGTGTGATCTAAATTGATTACATAATCCGAAGACAAGCCAGCATCTATCTTAGCTGGACAGGGCTAAAGCAACGAAAATGACGCGCAAGGTGCTAAAAGTGAGACGACCGTAAATACTAACATGTGATAGCTACTGCAGTGTTCTTCAGACTCGGCAACTGTGCCTCCAGAGACTAAGACGTGTTTGACTTGACAATTGTACACAAAGCTGCAGCCCATTGTTGCACGCTGCCATGTTCACCGCTTATTTGTGCTTTGTTTATTGAGTTGCTTGCAAGCAAACCCATGCACGGTGAATGGTGTTATCGTAGGATGTTCCATGTGCTTGAACCCGATCACATCTCGGAATGGCAATCGTCAGAAAGGTCACAGGCTATGGCCAGAGCAAATTCAGGGGTCCAACATGGCATTGAGACGGGCTCAATGTCATGCATGTTTTCAATCACCATCGCTGCACCCTGAATCATGCCAATCTACGGGCTTCTGAGGGCAAGCATGCCCCGGCTGCCACAGCACTGCTGGCATAGCCTGCGCCTTTCTGCGATCGTCACCGTGCCGTGGCCGGTGTCGCTTGACGATGTGCTTGTTGGCCGACACGTCCACCACTAACGGGCCGCAGGCGCTGATTATTCTAGGTGTAGTCTAGTAGACGCCACTGCGCTCTCACTGGCACCAACGACTGATGACGTCACCCTGGACTATGACGTCACAGACATCGCGCGCGCACCGTTTGGTGCATGTGGACCGACCGGGTATAGCCAGAACGCACCATCAGACTTCAGAGACGCACAGTATACGGACTGGTACAGGCTGCAGACGGCCTGCTGTCGACCAGTGGCGGGCCAGCGTTCGGACGGCTGACGTCACTGCTTGCTGGCCAATGGCGGCCCTGTACAGGGCAGACTCTCTTGGGGAGGGCGTCGACAGAAAGCGTGAAGATTTGCCCACATGTCACTTCATGACTAGCAATGTTTTTTCTGCCCAAAATTGAAACATATTGTTATTGTTATGACTACCTCAGCAAATGAATTTATCACCATTACTTTATTCAAATCATACAGTTTCATTCAGGTGGAAAGTGAAGATGTGGAGATAGGGGCTGACGATGGCACGTCATGATGTATTCCCTAACCTGCTGGTGCGTGCGTGCCTGAGCAGGGTGCGGACTGTCCGACACCTCCCGGATAGGCATCACGCGCCGCATCGTTGGTGGAAACCAGGCAGGATTCGGCACCTTCCCCTGGCAGGTAAGCGTCCTGCGCCCTGGGTGGCACGGTCATGCCTTTCTATCGCTGCTCCGATAAGTTGCAGAGACATGTCATTACCTGACTATAATGATCATTGTTCGTATAAATACGAATCCGGCCATAAGTTAATCGTAAGGTACAGCAAACTGCTGATATCCAGGCCGAAACTGAATTTGTTAATCTATCCGACATTTTGGTGCAGCTGCACTTCAACTCGCCTATATCATCTCTAAGCTTCAGGCGTTGTAACAAAGGAAAAAGCACAGTGATGCAGTGATCACTTGTTTTGCGTTGTACAAACATTATATCTTAAATCGCTGCAGCCCACCCTTGCGGTAGCATGCGGTAGCCAGCGTTCTCTAAACATAAATGCTGTTTCCAAGTGTTCAGCGATCACAAGTGGGGCGATGGGTGCACGGGAGGCCGCGCGTCGTCTGACACCCCGCGATGTCACAGGCGTACATCCTGATCGGCACCAGCCGTTGCGGAGGATCCCTGATTAACCAGCAGCACGTGCTCACAGCCGGACACTGCGTGGCCAGGTAAGTTGGGCCGGGGCGGCCGCTACCGGTGACCGGGGCATCTGGCGATCGAGCTCGCGGCGTGCCTCCAACGCCGACGGCGCCACTCAGTACACTCAGTCATGGTGTGAGATTGGCCAGAAGTCTGTGCAATCCAGCCGCACGTATCGCAGCCAGGCAATATGGACCGCGGCAACTGTCGCGTCCCGGGACGACTGAGGCTGGTGTGCAGTAGCGCGACGCGTTCTCTGC